ATTGTGACTTTATTATTTGTGGCAACTTCAACAGCCGTACGGGTACCGAGTTGGACTATATTTGTTTTGAAAATGCCGATTTTCTACCGCTAGATGAAGGCACATATGAGGAGTTTGATGCTCTACCATTGTTTCCTAACCGTAAAAACAAAGACCAAGTTGTGAACAATTATGGAAGAGATATCCTAGAATTGTGTAAAATATTTGGATTGTATTTATTAAATGGCAGGTTTTCTGACGAAGGTGACTTTACATACATAGGCCCAACAAGGTACAGTACACCAGATTATGTCTTAGTTTCAGCATCTTTGTATCACTGTGTGGAGGACTTTAGAGTTGTGTCTCGTACAGATTCGGATCATCTTCCCCTCACAGTATTACTTTCCCCGTTGTTTACCGTGGACGTGCCAGCTCCGGAGGATTATGTTAGTAACAGTAATCGACGCAGGTTTAAATGGAACCATGATAAGTCAAAACAATATTGTGAAAACATGACAAGTGAAAGTTCAACGGATATGTTTAATAAGTTTATTGACATGTTACATGTTGATATTGATAAAGCATTGGATATTCTACAGTGTATATTTCAAACATGTGGAAGTGAAATGATATGTATTCAACCGAATTCTATCCCTGCTAAAGGACAGCCCGACTGGTTTGATGAGCAATGTCGTACTCTCAAGAGAGAAAAATACAGATGTCTAAATATGTTTAGAAAACAGTCCACTAAAGAAAACTATAACCGGTATAAGTGCAGCAGAACTAACTTTAAATATACCTGTAGAGCCAAGGAAGAACGCTATAAACATTCAATAATTCAAGCTATACATGATGCAGCAAGCTCCAGTGACTGTACTGTGTTTTGGCGTCTTGTGAAAAAGTATATTACAAATCGTTCATCTGAGTCTGTTATCTGCCCTTCAGTATGGGCTGATTACTTCAAGAACCTATTAAATCCTAAACAACCTGATGATGGCGGTTTTGCAGAGGACATTAAAGCTTACTTTAACAATCATGACTGTAATACATGTGCAGAATGTTGTGTTGAAGATGATATTCTTTCAATAGACTTTAACGATCAGGATGTTATTAATGCTATAAGAAATTTGAAATGTAACAAATCCCCGGGTGATGATGGTATCCCAGCAGAATTTTTTAAAACTGCTGAAGGTGTCCTTGTGCCATATTTAGTTATACTCTTTAATAAGATATTACACACTGGATATTACACTACATCTTGGTCTACTGGTATTATTATGCCACTACATAAAAAGGCAGCAAGTGTAATCCGAATAATTTTAGAGGAATTTCCTTATTAAATGTGATAAGCAAAATTTTTCTACAGCTTTGAATAAAAGATTATTATTTAGAGTTCTGTGAACTGGTTGGTGAATACCAAGGAGGCTTTAAAAAGGATCACTCGACTGTTGACAGTATCTTTATTCTTCAGGCTATTGTTCAGAAATATATTACTCGTAAAGGAGGTAAACTATATGTTGCTTTCATAGATTTTTGTAAGGCCTTTGATATGGTAAACAGGCACAAATTATTATATGTTCTTTTACAAAACGGAATCCATGGTAAATTTTTACTTTGATACAAAATATGTACAGAAATGTTAAAGCCACTGTATCTTATGATTTTGGTAGAAAATTAACTGAATATTTTGATAGCTCCTGTGGAGTTCGTCAAGGTTGTGTCCTCAGCCCTGTGCTGTTTTCTTTGTTCATTAATGAACTCAAACTGTCATTAGAAAATAAATTTCAGGACGGTATATTTATATCCGAAAAAATGTTAAACATTATTGCATTGTTGTTTGCAGATGATCTGATTTTGGTTGCTGACTCTGTAGTTAAACTTCAACGTCGTCTTGATGCTTTGCATATGTATTCTTACAAATGGGGTATGGATATTAAGATTGATAAAAGTAAAATTATTGTTTTTAAGATGGGTGGCCCTCTATCAATGCATGAAAAATGGCTGTATAATGGTACTCCAATGGAAACTGTGAATGTCTATAAGTATCTTGGTCTTATGGTAACGCCTAAACTAATTTGGACTAGAGCATGTAAAAACCTCTCTGAACAAGCTAGTAAAGCACTTTGGCCTGTTAAATCTTTACGGTATAATATGTGCTTTTCTGATGCTATATTTTTATAAGAAGATTGTTCAAATTCTTACATATGGCGCTGAGATCTGGGGTTTCTCTCAAAAGAGAGAATATTGAAATTATCCATCGTAAGTTTTGCAAATTCGTGTTACAAATTGGTTACAGATCTCCTAATGCTGTTGCTTATGGTGAAAGCGGACGACCCCATCTGTCAAATGTCTATTTTGTAAAATGCATCAAATATTGGATAAGATTATTACACATGCACCCAGATAGATACCCTTATCAATGTTATCGATTTTTATTGTCAATTGAATCTAGAAAACGCCCAACATGGGCAAGTTATGTAAAGCATTTATTGTTTAGACATGGGTTTGGAATTGTATGGAACACACAATCTGTTGGTGATCCAAAGATATTTTTATGTAAATTTATTGAAAGAATTAACGATTGTTTCCACCAAGAGTGGCATTCATCTCTTCTTGACAGCAAATCACTGTGCTTTTACTACTCTCATAAATCTTTGCTGAACTGTGAAAAATATCTCCTGTCTAATATTAGTAATGATAATAAACGTATTTTTACAATGTTTAGATCAGGATGTAATATACTCGGTATTCAGTTAATCAGGAAAGGTCTTGCTACTGTCAATGACAATGTTGCATTATGTAAGCATTGTAAAGCTGTTGAAGATGAAGCTCATGTTATATACAACTGCAAGTTTTATGAGAGTCTTCGGCAACGTCTTATTCCAAAGACATCAAGTGGACACTACGTCTCCATTCAAAGTCTCTGTACATCCGTAGATATTAATATCATTAACAACTTTGTGAAATATTTGAAATATGTTTATTCTGAGAAACATTGTTAGCAAACACGTTTCTTCGATCCATACTATGTACTCATTTGGTAACTCAAGAACCATACTATGTATTATTTTGTATTGTAGGTCGTATGGTCTATATGCAAATATGTCCAAAGACATCAAGCGGGCATAACGTCTCCATTCAAAGTCTCTGTACATCTTCTGATATTAATATCATCAACAACTCTGTGAAATATTTGAATTACGTTTATTTTGCGAAACATTGTTAGCAAACTCGTTTCTTCGATCCATACTATGTACACATTTGGTAACTCAATAACTGTTTCATGTACTTTCTTGTACTGTAGGTCGTATGGTCTTGTATGCAAATATATTATGTCCAAAGTCATCAAGTGGGCATTACGTCTCCATTCAAAGTCTTTGTACATCCACAGATATTAATATCATTAACAACTCTGTGAACTTTTTATTTTTAAATACGTTAACTCTGCGAAACATTGTTAGCAAACTCGTTTCTTCGATCCATTCTATGTACACATCTGGTAACTCAACAAATATATTATGTACTATTTTATACTGTAGGTCGTATGGCCTCACATGCAAATAATTCGCTCTCTCTCTCTCTCTCTCTCTCTCTCATCAACTGATATTTGTGTTTCCAGAATCATTTGATCAACAGTATCATAGTCATTCGAAGAGATAATATCATCATCGAAGGAATAGCCATCAATTTGAAAAACAGCATCGTTAGAAAAAAACTGTCTTGAAATGCGTAATCCATTCACATGTCGAAATATTACTTTTAGGAACTGGTCTCTTTCTAAATGAACGAATCTGTTTCCAGAACATAACATGATTGTGGATAGAATCATTCTGTCTGTTCAGTCTTTGATTACACAGGTTAGATTTCAGTTTTCTACATAAAGCTTTGTATTTGTTTCTCATGTCACAAAAAAATAATTTCTGTTGCTCTCCGAGCGTCTACAACGAAAACTTCTAAGTACCTTGCGCCTGTCTCGTCGTTAAGTTTTACACTCGTCACTTAAGGGTGTTTTATAGGTTTAATTAAACGGCTTAGCCTTTTTCTTCATACAATCTGCTGAATCTAATATGGCATGAACAAACCCATCTAAAGCTCCGTTTAGATCATACTCAAGTTTTGATAAGAGACAGTCATTATAACATGAAATCTTACTTTTCAAATTATCCAAAACAAAATTTTGCAAAAGGAGTCGTTCCAAACAATCTTTTTCTTCAGAATCATCAATATGGTTTTTATCACTTGAGTTGTTCATGTTTGGAAATTGAAAAGTCAGTTCTAATGGTTAATGATCAGAATCTACTCTGTCTCCAATATTCAACAAGTTAATAAATTGGAAGAAGTCTGGTGAACGAATAAAATAGTAATTGACACTTGATCCCTGTGGCCCATGAAACGTATATTCATCTTGTGAGTCTCCATATACTCTACCGTTCGCTATGAATAAGTTGAAGGTATAGCATAAAGCTAATAACATATTACCAAAATTATTAACAACAGTGTCGTGAGAATTACGATCATCAATAGGATAGTTGTCATCATCCCGGATTCGAACCATGACTCTCAGCACCCTGACTCTAAGCACCGCATCCCTTTCATGCCATCCATGGCATGTAAGCAAGACACCGCGCTCATGACATCCATGGCATGTAAGCACTTCACCCCGCTCATGACATCCATGGCATGTAAGCACTACACCCGCTCATGACATCCATGGCATGTAAGCACTACATCCGCTCATGACATCCATGGCATGTAAGCACTACACCCGCTCATGACATCCATGGCATGTAAGCACTACACCCCTCTCATGACATCCATGGCATGTAAGTACTACACCCCTCTCATGACATCCATGGCATGTAAGCACTTCGTACTGGTACGGTTCTTAAACCCGCGCCACTTTCCGCTGATGCATTGAAATTTACTAAAAGCGGTTTAAACTCACCCAATCTTACTTTACATGTACATTATACGCTGAATACACATAATGTGAAACATGTGGTATAAAGTCTGGATTTTACCTGGCACGAATACCCCCAGGATCAACAGTACCGAGGCAGACATCGGGTGATGGATGAGCGTCATCGTCGACAGGACCTACATCAACGAGGTGTGCTTGTACAATGCATTGATCTCCCCGGGTTCTCGACAACTCCCAAGGCCAACCTAGAGGGAGTGGTGATCTATTGACCAGCACTCGAACAACACTTGCTCCTTTTTTTTACATGAGCTGGCGATGTGGAATTATATCGTCTGCATAAACTGTGCAAATATTTGATCTGACTTGCAAGTGAGAGCTCGCAAACATTATTTCAGTAATGTCTGTGACATTAATTACGACGGCCTCTACACGTGTGCCATTAAATATTAAATTTTTTATTTAACTTTTAATGACGTAACCCTGATCAAACATTCCTTGAAAGGGCAATTTCGATTGTACATGAAACCTTTTGACTAGACACGACAGTATACCTGACGGAAACTTGAGAGAGTAGACACATGAAACTTGAATACATCTCCCTTATAAAATCTTTGTTTAGTCACGTATTTCCTGTCTGTAACCGACCGATCAGCCTCAAATATATGTTGCATAGATGAGCTCGCATTAACAGTGTCCAACCCACTCCACGCCCAGGTCTCAGCTGTTTAAGGACGTGCAGTGTTACGCCTCTTAGCCGTGCGGGGATCTGCTGGTCGTTATATAATTAGTTCAGATCTCACCTTCATCCTGCTTATGCAGATTCGAGTATCATCACTATACCCTTGTCGTGGGTATGCACGCCATAATATAACACCTTTCATACTGCGTGAAACACGACTTTCTTTTAGATCCTAAACAAGAGACACTTTTCTAGGAAGCAAATATATTTGCCTAAATACTTAGTTTACAATTTTCAAAGTGCATTCTCTGTATTGATTTGATCAACACATGCTTTCGAGAAATATTGTCTACATCTCTAAAGAAAGAGTATACACATTAATGATTACATTATAAAACACTTTATTGATAAGATATTGATCTACACTTACATCCTTTTCACATAATAGAACACTCGTTCAGTGTAAAAGAATATGTATTAAAATTGTGTTCTTCTTTATATAAGAATCATATCTAGTTTTTAACTACGACGGCAAACCGTAGACGACGGCTATTCGGAGGTTACAGTGACCGTCTGTGGACTAACTACAGCGGTTATTCGTTGACTACATTGACTCAGTGTAAACACTAACGGATATTAATCGGCTGTCAGTTGATTACAACGGCTTTTAGTAGATAACAATAACTAAAAGTAAACTTTACCGACAATCACCAAAGTTGAACTAATTGAGTGAATAAGATTTTACGCCGCTTTTAACAATATTCCGGCAATAGCACGGCGGGGGACACCAGAAATAGACTTCACACATAGGAATCGAACCCGGGTCTTCGGCGTGATGAGCCAACGCTTTAACCACTTGGCTATCCCACCGCCCTTAAACTAAGTAAATCACTTTGGTACGAAGACTGGCTCACATTTATACATGAATTACACCTAAACATTCAACTGGTTGGACAGCGAACCTCCGCAGTTGTGCGTTATGCAAGTACTGACTTCATTCATATGAATATAAATTTTGGATAATTTTCCAACGTTCACGTCGTATCCATCATCAGATCCCCTTGGACAGCTCGGGAAAGTGGACGGAGGGGGAGTTAGATTAGAGACACCTACGTTATTATGTATTAATCACTAGGATAACAAATTCCTCCACAATATTAATACAAAGACTATTTAAAAGACAAATATTTTTTTTATTGAATACCACTGATACAAGTAGGAAAGCATGATGCATTAAACATTTTTTGAAAAACTGGATTACACACACATGGCGCTCAGGCAACACGTACAGAACGTGAGAGCGCATTCATCTTAACATGTACACGTGCCCATCTTCTTTTAACCGACCCTAGAGAACAATGGAGGGAATCAATGTACTTTCAAATCTTGTGATGTCTTCTGTAAATAACTAGTTTTGGGTACTTTTTGCCAATTAGAGAGGAACATGCATAAGTGTTTTGTTTCCTTTACACGGAAGGGAAAACAACACTAAATGTTTGCAGAGTTTTTATATACTTTATCTGATGTTTAGGGCGTTAAAGTACTATTGACATTGTACAGTCGTGTGCATCGTTAATGCCGAGGCTGACGATGTGTCATTACATCGGGCAATAATCAATTGAATTATATGGGGTATTGTAGATGTAAGTTATATTTATTAATGTTAACAAAACCATCAAATGATATCAAATATGTCAAACAACTACTTCTCATGATATTATTACAGTATAACTGTTAAGGTAACTTGACATTAACTAAAAAGAAATTCGTTCGAGGAATTGATAAAGAAAAAAACTCCCACACAATTAAAAACTAACCTCGTTTTCGTTATCAAAACATTAACATATTTAATCGAATAATTACCTTTCGATAAGAGTTTTCTTATCTGTCTATTTTGACCTTCAGAGAAAATTAATCTGCACAAGGTTAAAAAAGATTGACCAAGTGTCTGGCCACACATATCATTTGAGTCGACGGTCATTGACTGTCCCAATTCTACCCCTACTCGAGGTGCAGCCTGTGATAAGTATCAAGCGACGTTAGAATATAGTTCTAGACATTGCATTACGTGACGAGTGAGTCATGTTTTACGTTATTCCAGCAGAATCACAACGGGGAATATCATAGCTGATGTCTATTGGTGTGATAGATGTGTGGTGTGTGGTTGCAGGAGGGAGTGACAGATCACATGGGACAGGACACGAAAGTTTGATGACAGGTTATAAGATGTACGTTGTTGTACCAGTCCCTGCCTACAGCCTCTGTACTTGTATCCTAGCCAGCCTCTCTGGGCTGTAGTCGGGCGGAGGAACACTCCTGAAAGTGACTGTGTCCGTGCACTGTATCATCTTGTATTGGTTCGGGTGATTTACTTGGTTATCTCCCTTTACGCCTTCGTCTTCATCCATGGAATAGACTGAGTTCGAGATGGCGTATGTCGACCGCTTCACGCCCGTCGTGAGGGAATCATCAAGATCCCTGGCATAACGCCCTGTGCGATATTCAGGATTCGCAGGACCCCAGTCTGACGTAGGCTTCCAAGAGTTTTTCTGCAATAGTTAATGAAGGACTAATTTTATGATGTTGAATGCAATGGTGACCGACTTCCAGTCACTGCAGCCAGAAATAGAATCGATACTGGACCAAGCGAATCAGTGAAGTTGATTCTTATGAATGAATAAGTGAACAGTAATTGCTTCACAGACGGCTTATTGAATCAGAATCACAACACTTGTAGTGACGACACGAAATACAGAGACGCCGTTCAATGCACTATGAAAACAGTGGACTATGGTGGACGCCCGTAATTTTGAAAGGTTTATTGGAACACAAATTGTTGACAAGATGCAGTATATTTTGATTCATCGAGGAACCACACAAGCAGTTAGTGCTCGGTTCTCATTATCTCTTAATAGAGTCATTGAAAGATATATTCGACTGTACTGCCTGGCAACAGCCATTTTAAATAATGGTCTTTTTATGAATTTAGATGGACATTTTCTCAGGTTTCTCAATATCTATCAGCGTTATAACAAGTGGCAGTACTTACAAAGCCGTATCTTTTGATCTGGACGATGGCCACGATAATGATAAGCAGCACAGGGAGACTGACCATCACCCACCCCACGCCCTGCGCCCACGGGGGGAACGTGTAGTCCCCGTACCTGGCAGGAGAGTTCTCCACACTCGCAATGATGATGATGAACTGTTGGAATGAGAAACAAATCCTGGAGGACTTAGGACAGGTAAGAAACAACTCATTTGAAACAGTCTTGTTTACAGTTATGTATTTAATCCTGAATAAATATGCATCAGTATGTGAACATTTGAGTTCTTCACCTGGACCGTGCCAGGTTCAATTCCAGATTCGCTTACTGAACAAACGGGACTGTCTTACCAGGATAGTTGCCGGAGTTAGGGCGAACCACGTGGCCATCCAGTACACGTTAGGCTTGTGTCCAATCATCATCTCAATGTCAGCCCTAAACTTCTGTATACCTGCACGGCGAAGAAGTAACAGATAAAGTGGCTACCTAACTCCCACATAAATTAGAACTAAATGAAAGATGAAATGTGACGTTTCGACTGATTCATCCCATACTCACCATAGACATACATGAGGCAGATGATCTCCGCCAGGGCCACTATCATGAGGTTGTAGTTGCCACAGTACCAGTCCATCAGCGTCAACACATAGATACCACCCTGCACATAGGAATAGCCCTGAGTTAACTGATCATCTACACACATAGAGAAATGAATACCTTGCACAAGCATGTAACATAACACAGAAAGTGGCTAATACCTCACACAGTGAAAGATAACACGCAACTTATTCACTCTGTCAAGCTAACGATGATTCACAAACAGTCTGTGGGTGCAAGTGACCATTTATTGGAAATAAAAGTGACAAAACTATTTCTGTAACCATAAAGAGTTTCTCTTAAAGCAGAATCCGTCTTACAATTCCGACTACACCATATATTAATCTAAGTAAATAGCTAGTGACGCTATCTGATGTTCGCGGTAGGGTGCCAGAGCCAATTAACAAGGTTGGCATCGTCACAAATACATGCAAGTACAAGTCAATTGTTCACCTGTAATATACACGGGAACTTTAGGCCAAGGTCGAGGTAAGGAATTGCATCGGGCATAATTTTTAGTACATCGAAAGTGGAAGAAATTCTCCATGTGTTTGCTAGGGCCTTGACTGTTGTAATCGTTTGAACAGGATTTTTAGGAATCGTTTCGAAATCTTTACATTAAGAGCGTGTTCCTTTGTACCTCAAAGGTTATGAAATGAAGACACCAAAGGCTGGGGAAGCTGGAAAAGTCCTCTACGTGAAAGGGAAGTTCGAACATGGAAAAATGTAACTCGTCACACAGTATAGAGTGAATTATGCCTAATTGCAATGTTTATCCTTCCCTTGCCCACGACCTAAACACAGATGAGTGTTCTAGTTGGGGAGAGGCAATATACCTGAGGACAAAGGGGGCGCGGTGGGAGAGCTGGCTAAGGCACCAGGCTACTGATCCAGCGAGGTTGAGGTGCCGGGATCGAGCCCACCTTTGACCTGGTGTAAAAACCTTGGAGTCAACTTTGTGAGCAGACTCTTTCAGTGTTGTAACAACCCTTAGTGTACAGTACACAACCACTTAAAAGAACCCACGAATCCGTTGGTATAGGACCAGATGGTGGCCACATGAATATGTGCAAACACCTAGTTGCGGGTACAGCAACGTGCAGTGAAGTTGGACAAAGTACTGTTACTATGTGTCCCAGTCCATCCAGCTGTGAATGGGTACCTCGTTAGGATGAGAAAGCCACAATAACTCGGTGCGCCTAGTGGCAGCAAGAGGTGTATACTCCCCAGGGAGTTGAGATTGCTAATACAATGTGCAGTTGATATTGACATCCATGGATCGAGGGAAAAAATACCAGCGCCTTGAGCATGCACTAGTGCGTGGATATGTGCGCTATATAAATATCCTATAATAAAATAATAAAAAAGGGAGCTTACCGTGGTGACCTGTGGAATGCCCAGCAGGAACCCGACTGCACAACAGAAGAAGGTGAAGGCTGCCTTGTTCTTCCGGAAGAACTGGGGATGTATGTCGGAGACTCCACTTATCACTGCTTCCATCATGGCGAACTGGGGACATAGGGGCATACAAGGTCACACAGTGTCACACTGGATTAAGGATGTTTCAAAACCCAATACTGTGAACTATCTCAGGACACAATAACTAATTATAACATATAGTCATATAACCATAGTCCAAATGACTCCAGTATTGGATCTACAGCGAGTCGACGGACGATGCCACAACCATCATCACATCCACTTCCATCAACACTAGAGCCACGACCACTACCACATCAACTACCATCAACACTAGAGCCACAACCATCATCACATCCACTACCATCAACACTAGAGCCGCAACTATCATCACATCCACAACCATCAACACTAGAGCCACAACCATCATCACATCCACTACCATCAACACTAGAGCCGCAACCACTACCACATCCTTTACCGTCAACACTAGAGCCACGACCATCATCACATCCACTTCCATCAACACTAGAGCCACAACCATAACAGTCTCTGATCCCACAGATTCGATATAATTATTGTGATTTGAAACCATTATGTAGTTCAATATTGAACAGATATTACTTCAACTTGATAAAGAATTACTTTTTGTATCTGAAAAATATATCAAAATGAGACAAAGCTAACGTTTATAACTAATAATTCATTGTAACTATTTTAAGATATACATCTACCTGACTGTCAAGGCCTACTGTAAGGATCATAAAAAAGAACAAGAACGCCCAGAATGATGACTGTGGGAGTCGAGCAAGTCCTTCTGGGTACGCGATGAACGTCAGACCTGGGCCTGTGAACACATGTGTTGGGGACCCATAAAGCGAAAACATGTACGATATGGTATTTTCATGTCCTTGTTTTAAGAAACAATAAACGTAAACACTTTGCGATAGGAAGCTAACCGGGAGGGTTTCTGACTCTCACCTTGGTCCACGACGTCAGCGATCTCCTGGTTCGTGGTGTACGCCATAAAACCCAGCAGAGAGAAGATGGCGAATCCAGCGAATATGCTGGTGGAACAGTTAATGACAGCCACTACAATGGCGTCCCTGGAAACATATGAAATATAGTAGAGTCAGCTTATTCTGCGATACATTCTTTGTTTGTGTGTGTTTTTGTAAGTGTTTGACTTGTGCCAGGATAGGCCCACCTTCTCGCGAACACGTGGTGTCACTCCATTCTGACATGTATTCATAAACATGTGCTTTTGACGGTCGGACCTGTACAACGGACTCTACTTGTGGTAAATATGTCTTATGCTTATGAATATAATTTCTGCTTTTATTTAATAATGGCGACGAAAGTGATGACAGCCGGTTGTCGTAGTTGGGGTCAGCGTTATAGGTACGGGTCATCTTCATCATCACGACAGCTACAACCACCAACACATGCACTACCACAGCACAACAGCTACAACTACTACCACCACATAGACAACAACTCATCAGCCACCACCACCACTACCACACACATCAGCCACCACCACCACAACCACTACCACAGCCACTACCATTAACACTAGAGACACAACCAGAACCACTTCCACTACAATCAACACTAGAGTCACAAAAATCATAAAATCCACTTCCATCAACACTAGAGCCACAACCATCATCACATCCACTTCCATCAACACTAGAGCAATAACCACTACCACATCCACTACCATCAACACTAGAGCCACAACCACTACCACATCCACTACCATCAACACTAGAGCCACAACCACTACCACATCCACTACCATCAACACAAGAGCCATAACCACTACCACTTCCACGACCATAAACACTAGAGCCACAACCATCATCACATCCACTACCGTCAACACTAAAGCCACGACCACTACCACTTCCACGACCATCAACACTAGAGCCACAACCATCATCACATGTACTTCCATCATCACTAGAGCCACAACCATCATCATATCCAATACAATCAACACTAGAGCCACGACCACTACCACATCCACTACCATCAACACAAGAGCCACAACCACTACCACATCCACTACCATCAACACTAAAGCCACAACCATCATCATATCCAATACAATCAACACTAGAGCCACGACCACTACCACATCCACTACCATCAACACTAGAGCCACAACCACTACTACATCACCTACCATCAACACTACAGACACAACACCTACCACATCCACTACCATCAACACTAGAGCCACAACCATCATCATATCCAATACAATCAACATTAGAGCCACGACCACTATCACATCCACTACCATCAACACAAGAGCCACAACCACTACCACATCCACTACCATCAACACTAAAGCCACAACCATCATCATATCCAATACAATCAACACTAGAGCCACGACCACTACCACATCCACTACCATCAACACTAGAGCCACAACCACTACCACATCACCTACCATCAACACTAGAGACACAACACCTACCACATCCACTACCATCAACACTAGAGCCTGAACCTTCATCACATCCAATACCACCAACACTAGAGCCACAATCACTACCACATCCACTACCATCAACACAAAGAGCTACAACCCCTACCACACCCATTACCATCAACACTAGAGCCACAACCACTACCACATCCATCTACCATCAACACTAGAGCCACAACCATTGTCACATCCACTACCATCAACACAAGAGCCACAACCACTACCACATCCACTACCACCAACACTAGAGCCACAACTATCATCACATCCACTACCATCAACACTAGACACAACCATCATCATCAGCATCCACTGCACTCAACAATAGATCCACAACAACTACCACCATCCACTACTACCATCAACACAAGAGCCACAACCATCACCACATCCAATACAACCAACATTAGAGCCACTGATCACTACCACATCCACTACCATCAAACACTAGAGCCACAACCACTACCACATCCACTACCATCAACACTAGAGCCCCAACCATCCCTCACATCTACTACCATCAACACAAGAGCCATAACCACTACCACATCCACTACCATCAACACTCTGGAGCCACAAACACTACCACATCCACTACCATCAACACTTTAGAGCCACAACACCTACCACATCCACCACCATCAACACTAGAGCCACAACCATCATCACATCCACTACCATCAACACAAGAGCCACAACCACTACCACATCCACTACCACCAACACCTAGAGCCACAACCACTACCACATCCACTACCATCAACACTAGAGCCACACTCACTACCACACACCTACTACTATCAACACTAGAGCCACAACTATCATCACATCTACTACCGTCAACACTAGAGCCACAACCATCATCATCGCATCCACTACCATCAACACTAGAGCCACAACCATCATCACATCCACTTCCATCAACACTAGAGCCACAACCACTACACCACATCCACTACCATCAACACTTAGAGCCACAACCACTACCTCACATCCACTACCATCAACACTAGAGCCACGACCACTACCACACCCACTACCATCAACACTAGAGCCACAACTATCATCACATCTACTACCATCAACACTAGAGCCACAACTATCATCACATCCACTACCATCAACACTAGAGCCACAACCATCATCACATCCACTTCCATCAACACTAGAGCCACAACCATAACAGTATCTGCTCCCACAAAAGCACAACTAAAACCATCATCACATCCACTACCATCAACACTAGAGCCACAACCATCATCACATCCACTTCCATCAACACTAGAGCCATAACCACTACCACATCCACTACCATCAACACACAAGAGCTACAACCCCTACCACACCCACTACCATCAACACTAGAGCCACAAACTACTACCACATCCACTCACCTTCAACACTAGAGCCACAACCATTGTCACATCCACTCATGATCAACACACAAGTGCCACAACCACTACCACATCCACTACCACCAACACTAGAGCCACAACTATCATCACATCCACTACCATCAACACTAGAGCTACAACCATCGTCACATCCACTGCAGTCAACACTAGATCCACAACAACTACCACATCCACTACCATCAACACAAGAGCCACAACCATCATCACATCCAATACAATCAACATTAGAGCCACGATCACTACCACATCCACTACCATCAACACTAGAGCCACAACCACTACCACATCCACTACCATCAACACTAGAGCCCCAACCATCCTCACATCTACTACCATCAACACAAGAGCCATAACCACTACCACATCCACTACCATCAACACTAGAGCCACAAACACTACCACATCCACTACTATCAACACTAGAGCCACAACACCTACCACATCCACCACCATCAACACTAGAGCCACAACCATCATCACATCCACTACCATCAACACAAGAGCCACAACCACTACCACATCCACTACCACCAACACTAGAGCCACAACCACTACCACATCCACTATCATCAACACTAGAGCCACGACCACTACCACACCTACTACCATCAACACTAGAGCCACAACTATCATCACATCTACTACCATCAACACTAGAGCCACAACTATCATCGCATCCACTACCATCAACACTAGAGCCACAACCATCATCACATCCACTTCCATCAACACTAGAGCCACAACCACTACCACATCCACTACCATCAACACTAGAGCCACAACCACTACCACATCCACTACCATCAACACTAGAGCCACGACCACTACCACACCCACTACCATCAACACTAGAGCCACAACTATCATCACATCTACTACCATCAACACTAGAGCCACAACTATCATCACATCCACTACCATCAACACTAGAGCCACAACCATCATCACATCCACTTCCATCAACACTAGAGCCACAACCATAACAGTATCTGCTCCCACAAAAGCACAACTAAAACCATCATCACATCCACTACAATCAACACTAGAGCCAAACCATCATCACATCCACTTCCATCAACAATAGAGCCACAACCACTACCACATCCACTACCATCAACACTAAAGCCACAACCATCATCGCATCCAATATAATCAACACTAGAGCCACGACCACTACCACATCCACTACCATCAACACTAGAGCCACAACCACTACTTACTACATCACCTACCATCAACACTACAGACACAACACCTACCACATCCACTACCATCAACACTTAGAGCCACAACCATCATCATATCCAATACAATCAACATTAGAGCCAATGACCACTACCACATCCACTACCATCAACACAAGAGCCACAACCACTACCACATCCACTACCATCAACACTAAAGCCACAACCATCATCATATCCAATACAATCAACACTAGAGCCACAACCACTACCACATCCACTACCATCAACACTAGAGCTTCACAACCACTACCACATCACCTACCATCAACACTAGAGACACAACACCTACCACATCCACTACTATCAACACTAGAGCCTGAACCTTCATCACATCCAATACCATCAACACTTTAGAGCCACAATCACTACCACATCCACTACCATCAACACAAGAGCTACAACCCCTACCACACCCACTACCATCAACACTAGAGCCACAACCACTACCACATCCACTACCATCAACACTATAGCCACAACCACTACCACATCCACTACCACTCAACACTAGAGCCACAACCATCGTCACATCCACTACCATCAACACAAGAGCTACAACCACTACCACATCCACTACCATCAACACTAGAGCTACAACCCCTACCACACCCACTACCATCAACACAAGAGCCACAACCACTACCACATCCACTACCACCAACACTAGAGCCACAACTATCATCACATCCACTACCATCAACACTAGAGCCACAACCATCATCACATCCACTGCAGTCAACACTAGATCCACAACAACTACCACATCCACTACCATCAACACAAGAGCCACAACCATCATCACATCCAATACAATCAACATTAGAGCCACGATCACTACCACATCCACTACCATCAACACTAGAGCCACAACCACTACCACATCCACTACCATCAACACTAGAGCCCCAAACCATCCTCACATCTACTACCATCAACACTAGAGCCATAACCACTACCACATCCACTACCATCAACACTAGAGCCACAAACACTACTACCATCCACTACCATACCATCAACACTAGAGCCACAACCATCATCACATCCACTACTACCATCAACACAAGAGCCACAACCACATACCACATCCACTACCACCAACACTAGAGCCACAACCACTACCACATCCACTACCATCAACACTAGAGCCACAACCACTACCACACCCACTACCATCAACACTAGAGCCACAACTATCATCACATCTACTACATCAACACTCACACTATCATAGACCATCCAACACTAGAGCCACAACCATCATCACATCCACTACCATCAACACTAGAGCCACAACAACCACATCCATCATCAACACTCCACTACCATCAACACTAGAGCTACAACCATCATCACATCCACTACCATCAACACTAGAGCCACAACCACTCACATCCACTACCATCAACACTAGAGCCACAACCATCATCACATCCACTACCATCAACACTAGAGCCACAACTATCATCACATCCACTACATCAACACTAGAGCCACTATCACATCCAACACTCAACACTAGAGCCACAACTATCATCACATCTACTACCATCAACACTAGAGCCACAACTATCATCACATCCACTACCATCAACACTAGAGCCACAACCATCATCACATCCACTTCCATCAACACTAGAGCCACAACCATAACAGTATCTGCTCCCACAAAAGCACAACTAAAACCATCATCACATCCACTACCATCAACACTAGAGCCACAACCATCATCACATCCACTTCCATCAACACTAGAGCCACAACCACTACCACATCCACTACCGTCAACACTAGAGCCACGATCATCATCACATCCACTACAATCAACACAAGAGCCACAACTATCATCACATCCACTTCCATCAACACTAGAGCCACAACCATCATCACATCCACTACCATCAACACTAGAGCCACAACCATCATCACATCCACTTCCATCAACACTAGAGCCACAACCATAACAGTATCTGCTCCCACAAAAGCACAACTAAAATCATCATCACATCCACTACCATCAACACTAGAGCCACAACCATCATCACATCCACTTCCATCAACACTAGAGCCACAACCACTACCACATCCTTTACCGTCAACACTAGAGCCACGATCATCATCACATCCACTTCCATCAACACTTGAGCCACAACCATAACAGTATCTGCTCCCACAAAAGCACAACTAAAACCATCATCACATCCACTACCATCAACACTAGAGCCACAACCATCATCACATCCACTTCCATCAACACTAGAGCCACAACCACTACCACATCCTTTACCGTCAACACTAGAGCCACGACCATCATCACATCCACTTCCATCAACACTAGAGCCACAACCATCACACATCCATCACCATCAACACTAAAGCATCATCACATCCACTACCATCAACACTAGAGCCACAACCATCATCACATCCACTTCCATCAACACTAGAGCTACAACCACTACCACATCCTTTACCGTCAACACTAGAACCACAACCATCATCACATCCACTTCCATCAACACTAGAGCCACAACCATCATCACATCCACTCATATAAACACTAGAGCCACAACCACTACCACATCCACTACCGTCAACACTAGAGCCACGATCATCATCACATCCACTACAATCAACACTAGAGCCACAACTATCATCACATCCACTACTATCAACACTAGAGCCACAACCATCATCACATCCACTTCCATCAACACTAGAGCCACAACCATCATCACATCCACTACCATCAACACTAGAGCCACAACCATCATCCACATCCACTTCCATCAACACTAGAGCCACAACCATCATCACATCCACTTCCATCAACACTAGAGCCACAACCATCATCATCCACTTCCATCAACACTTCCATAATTTCCATCAAATACTAGAGCCACAACCATAACAGTATCTGCTCCCACAAAAGCACAACTAAAACCATCATCACATCCACTACCATCAACACTAGAGCCACAACCATCATCACATCCACTTCCATCAACACTAGAGCTACAACCACTACCACATCCTTTACCGTCAACACTAGAGCCACAACCATCATCACATCCACTCATATAAACACTAGAGCCACAACCACTACCACATCCACTACCGTCAACACTAGAGCCACGATCATCATCACATCCACTACAATCAACACTAGAGCCACAACTATCATCACATCCACTACTATCAACACTAGAGCCACAACCATCATCACATCCACTTCCATCAACACTAGAGCCACAACCATCATCACATCCACTACCATCAACACTAGAGCCACAACCATCATCACATCCATTTCCATCAACACTAGAGCCACAACCATCATCACATCCACTCATATAAACACTAGAGCCACAACCATCATCACATCCACTACCATCAACACTAGAGCCACAACCATCATCACATCCACTTCCATCAACACTAGAGCCACAACCATCATCACATCCACTACCATCAACACTAGAGCCACAACCACTACCACATCCACTACCATCAACACTAGAGCCTGAACCTTCATCACATCCAGTACAATCAACACTAGAGCCACGACCACTACAACATTCTACTATCAACACTAGAACCACAACCACTACCACATCCACTATCATCAACACTAGAGCTACAACCACTACCACATCCACTACCATCAACACTAGAGCCACAACCACTACCACATCCACTACCATCAACACTAGAGCCTGAACCTTCATCACATCCAGTACAATCAACACTAGAGCCACGACCACTACAACATTCTACTATCAACACTAGAACCACAACCACTACCACATCCACTTCCATCAACACTAGAGCTACAACCGCTACCACATCCACTATCATCAACACTAGAGCCACAACTGTAACAGTATCTGCTCCTACAAAAGCACAACTACAACCATCATCACATCCACTACCATCAACACCAAAGTCACAACCACCACCATATCCACTACCAACAACAGAACAGCTACGAACACTTACACTGCCACATCAACTACCATCAGCACTACAGCACAACTAAAAATATCATCACATCCACATCCACCACCACTCAAACATCCATTTCCACCTCTACCAGCGCCATCATGCCCACAGCTTTCACCAAGACTACCGGCCTCTGTACCGCGATGACCATATGCATCCTGATCAATCCCCACACCAACCGCAACAGCAGTGTTGCACCTGTAGCAGTTGTTGTGGAACTTGTTGTAGCTCGACATGGTAGGCAGGGCACCGAAACCCACCCCAAGGGAGTAGAATATCTGTGTGGCAGCTTCACCCCATACCTGTAACCATGAAAAGACCTAGTCATGAATGCATCGAGATACTGCTGATTATTCAGAATCGTTCCACATGGATCCATGTTAACCGTTGTCAATATTATCGAATATATTTTATTTATCCATCAGTTTGTATGATCAATATCTTTTTTAAACTGGTATTGGAAAGAGGAAGAGGCGAAGAGGTGCAGTTATTGTCTTACCCTGGCTTCCCGCAGTTTCTCTGGCTTGGGCACGACATAGAACTGTATACCCTTCTCGTATCCTGGCAACGTCAGGCCCCGGATGAGGAGGATCAGTAAGATGATGAAAGGGAATGTTGCGGTGAAATACACGACCTGGATTGAGGGAGTAAGCGTGTGAGTGAGAGGCATTTTTTGCTAATGAATAAGCCCGCAACATTGTGGGAAGAATATCTAAGAATACACGTTGTACCAATCTGAAGAATCGAACCCAGGTCTTCGGTGCGATCATCCTTTGCTGTCAATCACTAGGTTTCTCAGCTGCCTGTCAGCCTGGGTGAGTGAGGGAAGGGGGAAGGGGGATGTACACATTAAGAGTACGGAAGGGATATCAGAAAGTCATCAATCTTGCCCTGTGAGTTCCGGACTTTCAATTCGACTCTGAAGTACCCTAGTCTTTACCATTGAAATACAGAGAATTTGTCAACAACCAAAGAATAATATGCAACGATCAAACGTCGAGTGACAGAATTTCAGCGCGGGAGGGAGTTTGGAAGGTGACCCTAGTTCTGGTCAACCCAGCTTCAGAACCACCATGGAAAAGATGCCGTCAACCCATTGAGCTTGAGGATGCTTCATTGAGCGAGGAAATTCGACCGTGCTCCTTAAAACAAACATTTGGCCTCAAAATCATGACCTAAGCAAAAGCATAATATATAATATTTTCCATAACATACCTTTGAAAACAACTATAGTCAAAAACATACATGCTTATTGAAAAACTGTGTCAGTCGATCAAATACACGCAACAGCCATTTCAATTATAAGAACATGATTCAAATGCGACTACTGCACAATTTCGACGATGAAATCAGCATGTGTTTAATGAACCACTTAGTCTATCAAAACTGATTTGTTTGTTAGCCAACCTTCTACAGAACAAGTCTATGAACTGGCCAAGAAAGTTTTCATCACATTGTTCTTGATTGAGGAGAAGATTGACTCTGATCAAATTAATCTGCCTTGCCTATTGATGGGATAGGTGATACCCCCTCCAAAACAATGTCTGTTTAAGCATTATTTCAGTTAAAAGGCCCCCCTTTCCTTCCCCTACCCATTCACTCTCAAACAGATAAAAAAAACATGAAAAAAACAAAACTAGAAACAAAACAAGACACAAAATAAAAGTAACAAAACAAAACACAAACTGACAATGTTCCAACCATAAAAGAGACCGTTGAAACGGGTTCGTCTCTAAATGTGGAAAAATATTGTCTTAGAATGCCAGAGAAATAAGATATTACTTGCCCGAACAATTTTATTTTCGATATTGTCTTGAATTATCAATGAACGAATACACCTCCATCAATCAATTTCTTCAGCTATTCTCTCGAGGTAAACAAATGGTTAATCCATTCGCTCTTTGTGAATATATCGAACGCTGGCTCCAAGGCCATTCACACAAATTATAGATATTGGAAAGTATTTAGTTGAAACACCACTTTGAACAGTGTTCCAGTTACATCACGGCGTTCGGTATAGGCGGGGTATACGGGACTGATAGACAGGGATCATAATCGGGGCAAATCTTGGAGTCGAACCCAAAACAGACTGACCGACTTAGTAGTGGGCGCGAGCTCAACCTTATCTACAAGGGTTAATGTTATTTTCAATCGGCGAGTGTATGGTCAGTACTATAGCAGATCGACAGTGTACCCACCTTCCCTGACGATTTGATGCCTTTCAGGAGACAGAAGAAGATGAGGATCCAGGCCAGGATGAGGGTGATCAGGAGCTTAACGCTGACGTCGCCAAGGTCATGGATTCCGGTCGATTCGTGTAGACGAAGCACAGACCGCCTGAATGGTACATGTACATATGATAAACCCTTTATCCAGATACATACTGTTGTGAACTAAAACCACAATTCGCCAATACAACAAGGGCTGGTAGTGTGAGGTCTTATACGCTGGAACTGAATGTGTAGAGTGGAATGTCATAGTCGTGCACTTTACCGTGCGTTTGAATCCAAGACTGGCCATGATTGTTACCCTTTGTATCTCAGCGAATGAGGACTTGAGTCATAGTTTGGGGCTTCCCTCCATATAAAACTAACAATCCAAGATGCAAATGAGATACTATTCATAGGAAAGTTAAACTCACTAACTCGCTTTAAAGTAATATAATTTTAAAAGAATAAGTTTTCAATTAATCTTTTACACGTTTACAAAGGCTATGACCGAAATTATGAAAATTTTATACCGTTAAGATTCAAAATTTAGTGAACATATTGGAGAAGGTTTATATCCACTTTGTATACTGAGTCAAAAAAAGAAACTTCACAAAATGTAATTTGAAAAATAATGAATAATTTTTCTCTGATGATACATCTATGTATCCGAAATGGGATCCCTATCTTTCGACTCTAGAAAAACGTTAGCAAAACCAACTCAAACCCATCCATTCGTCGTGCAAATGACGTTAGTGCCAAATCAGGTTTTGCACGTGCAGTCGATCACGTGATCTTCGCATCGAAGTTTTCTTCATATGCACGTGTTTGCATTGGCCTCAAGAATTGAAAAAACACTTCTAAACCACAGTTCTAACGGTACTTGAAATGCCACGATTGTCAAAAAGTGCAACTTGAACGTGGTTGGCATGTTGCAAGCGGGAAGATCAGTTATTGACGTCGCAAGAGCAATGGGATGCAGCCGTCGTACTGTGTATGACTTGCGAGGTCGTCTACAACAAACTGGCACCACTTCTGATCGCCCAAGGTCGGGTCGTCCACGTGTGACGTCACGAGCAGAAGACCGTCAAATCGTCCTACGTCACCTACGTGACAGATTTCTGCCGGCTACACGAACCAGGGCTGAGATGTTTAGAGGTCGACTGTCCTCACAGACCATTCGAAATCGGTTGCGGGCTGCCAGTCTCCATTCTCGACGTCCATATCGTGGGCCAATATCGACGCCGTTTCATCAACGTCAACGTCTGCTGTGGGCCCAACCTCACCTCCGATGGACCCAGAGAAACTGGAATCGAGTCGTCTTTAGTGATGAATCCAGGTTTACCCTCAGATTCTGGAGACGACGTCGTGAACGGTATGCCCAATGTTGTGTACAGGAAGTCGACAGATTCGGGGGCGGAAGTTGCATGGTGCGGGGTGCTTTCTGTGGGAACAACCGTTCCCGACTTCTGGTCATCCGTGGAAACCTCACAGCTGCTGCTTACCGCGACAGGTGCTCACCCCTGAACTCGTTCCTTTCATGGCGGCTCATGGCCCAGGTCTACAGTTCCAGCATGATAATGCTCGGCCGCATACCGCGATGTTGACACGAAATTTCCTTCAAAACGCTGGAATCAACGTCATGGACTGGCCATCGAGGTCCCCTGACCTTAATCCAATAGAGCACGTTTGGGATGCACTTGGGAGAAGGCTTCGTGGTCTGAGGAACCAACCTCAGAATTTGCAGGAACTTGGCGCTGCCTTGCAAGAGCAATGGCGCAGAATCCCCAACCACGTGTTCACAAGCATCAGGCAGTCGATGAGGAGACGGTGTTTGGCAGTGGTGAATGCGCGGGGCGGCCATACACGATATTGAACTGAGAAATTTCGCATTTTTATTCTTGTGACTTGACATTCTGTATACCCATGTTTTGGAACGGCGGTGTAACCTAATGGAACTGATTATGGCACTGTCAGTGTATCGAGTACATCCCACAGATCTCAGCAATGAAATAATAATAATTTAACCATCTTACCATCTCTTGTTCTTTTATAGTGTCCTGAAGAAAGAATGTGAAGTTTCCTTTTTTGACTCAGTATATAATAGTTTATAGGGTGCTCGCTTACTGTCGGTGACCAAACATTAAGAAATGTTGTTGAAAGACCCTAGAAGAACTTAATCAGGCGGAAATGTGATTCGAACGAACTGACCACAGGGCCCGTCTCACCCCCCATCACAAACAGAACCAAAACTCACGTCCAATATTCCTCGCTGGCGGAGGTGTACACAAATTTGCAGGAGTCGAACGTGGAGTCTGACAGCATGGTGGAATTGATGCTGTCAAAGTGAGGCAGCCACGTACTGTTGGAACTGACGATGGAGACACATGTGCTGTTGTATAACTCCTCTGGGAAAAGAAGGTCAAAACGTATAAGAAAAAATTGCTGGTCTTTCAAAGGCATATGGTGATTGATGTCTCGAAGACAGAATGTTCTGTATGTTTAACAATGTTCTATGCTTGACAGGAAGAGTTATAGCTCACTTGACGTTAGGAGAATTGTGCGTCCTGACGGAAATGTATCATATTTGACGTTAAAAAGAATGTAACGGCAAGATGAAATACGACATTTGACGCAAAATGACTCACTCACTCACTCACCGTACATGCTGTGAAGCTTGGCGCTCTCGTTCATCCCAGTGAGGTCTGGAAACGCCTCTGTCCTGCACGTGTGCGTATTCCATGTGTTCGTACACGTTGCCCACGGTACCTCAAGGTCAAGGTTGACAAGGGAGACAAACAAGTAGTACATGGCGTACGTTATGATGATGTTATAATAGACACATATCATAGTGCTGATGGTAACCATGGCGATCCCTATACCTGCGTGAGGAAAGATGAATAAAGCCATAAACATCTGTATTCGAACCATGCTGAAACATTGTGAATCAAAGATTGGTTGCATACGATGAACCATATCTATATGTTTTGGCACATCACTGTCAATACCAAATTTGTGAATACGAGCACGTATGAAGTTAGATTATAATAGTTTTAAAGTTGAATGCAATAAATATCCAACACCATATGTAACAGTCAAAACTACAAAAGGTGGCAAAATATATCTTGAAACATTTCCGAGGGACAAACTTGTAAAGTAGGAAGGTCATTACAATGTTATTTTAAAATGTATTATTTGTAAAGCATGATAGGGAAACAAGACTGGTTTCAGGCTAGTGAGTAGTTTACCTGTAAATATGGGGCTGACCTTCCACACTGTGACCGGCCCCTCGGAGGCGAACTGACCAACTGCCAGCTCCATGAAGTACAGCGGCAGGCCAGCGATGACCAGCATGATGAGGTACGGGATCAGGAACGTGGCTGGTGGACACAATATGTTAATGTTTCTTGGTGTTCACCAATTCTAGTACTGGTAATGGTTTGTAAAGGGTTTGTACATCCGTACATCTTATAATGTAACACACTAGAATTCGATGGGACAATTACGTTTCGTCCGTATGTAACACATATTGCTGACTGAGTTTAGTTTTACGCCGCTTTTAGCAATATTCCAGCAATATCACGGCGGGGGACACCAGAAATGGGCTTCACACATTGTGCCCATGTCGGGAATCGAACCCGGGTCTTTGGCGTGACGAGACAACGCTTCAACCACTAGGCTACACCACCGCCCCACACATATTGCTGCGGTCATGGATGCATATATTGTGCCGTTCTCCGTCATATCTCTGGTCATACACACTAGTTACGGTGAAACGGCGTCGTGTTATACATAAAATATTGACCTTAGTACGTGATGCACATAACCTTATATATATAAATAAGATCTTTGCTTTCTGAGCATTTTGTATGTTTTACACAGTTTCGTGGTACAAATTCATCTCTAAATTTTATCCCTAATCTTGATATGTGGCACTTCCATTATTGCAGAATCACGCCGTTAAGCTAAAAAGGATTGGACCATGGTATACGTTATAACTGAACAAAAGGTTAATGATGTCCATGTACTGTTGCTGAGGGTAAGACGGTTGACATGATCAGTGAGATTCTAGTCCAATATAACCTGTTCTTAGGTCAAGCTTGATTAAAATCGCACACCTACAAAATGTTTTTTTCTGATGTCAAAATGTACCACCTCATCCAATCACACCGTATGGTATAGGTGACTGTTTGACAAATGATAAATATAGCTACCGTATACTGCAAGTAACTTGAGAAGAAACATTTTCGATGCTTTGATATTGTAAGTTGTATGCTTCTCTCTCGGGTAATACGGTCTGATGTACGCCTCTTTGTAGCAGTGTCATCCCTCACCTACCGACTCGGGTGACACTGCTACAAAGAGGCGTACATCAGACCGTATTACCCTCGAGAGAAGCATACAACGTATTTATCTTACCGCCATGTTAAATGTACAAAATATCATTTTATTTTATTTTATATGACATGTAAACAAAATGGCGTCTGCCCCTCGACTGGATTATTTCAATCAGTGAAACATATGCTGACAAGGTTGACACTGCTATAAAAATGGTTAATTATGTTTAAGTTTAAATAAAGCAGTGAAAGTCGGTAAAATAAATCTGTAGATAGTGAACTCAAAAACAGCTAATCGAACGGTTTTCGAACTCCGGACACTGCATGCGTCATATTATGACGTCATACGATTGTGAGCGATACAGCTTCTCGGCGGAGAGTTTGGCGGTTACCGTGGCAGCAGGTAATATTTTTCCAGTTGTCACCCTCCTGGGAGGGTAACACGGATTCTTGTTAGAGCTTCATTGACCAATGAAATTAAAGTATTTCACATGAAGGTAAGATAATTGACTGTAACACATCTCCCAAACTGCCTTATTTGTACATCAGACCATCACCATATAAAAATATAAGTCATTGCGTCCTGGTGTTTTCTCGCCAAAGGACATTTACCTCCTCCATTCCTGTAGACCACGTAAGGGAACCTCCAGATGTTGCCGAGCCCAACGGAGAAGCCCACACAGGACAGGATGAAGTCCAGCTTCTTGCTCCAGGTGCCCCGTTCAATCTCCACCTGTGAGGTAAGAACACAATAACACAAGGGTATGTAGGTACATACATGTCAAATACTCATGCTTGTTATTATTTCAGAATTGACGTTTTGTTGTGTTTATAGAGTTGATAAGGAAACAACTGGTGTGGACACTTTGTAAATCCTCTGTAATTTGTGATTCCCACTGTGTGCAAGCTCGGGCACAGTATATACCTGCATCATTGTAAATCATATTGAAGTCAATTCTTAAATGATAAAGAACCCAAACGACACGACAAATTCAAGAACATGGACGTCGAATCACTGTTTTGTTTAAGAGACGACATGAACGACCATGAACGTGAAACTCATCCAGAGCACAAGTTCACAAAACATCGGCAGCGTTGCGAATATCATAAGACTGTGAAACGATGTATGCAATTCGCAATGTCTGACGTGTCCCTTGATCGCACCTGCCATAGTGTAACATCGACGAAGCTAAAAGATATATTTGTAGAATGGAAGCCATTTGTCCTCAGTTGGACTGTGCTTATTACATTGGTCATTAAAGGATAATTTCGTCTCTCGAGTTTACAATTGACCCCACTAAAAATGTATTTTCACAACCACGTGAAAAAACTTTCTTATCATTCCATATGCCTTTGTCGGAGTACATCGAGTATTTTCGTATTTCCGCCCTCTGGTGACTCGGAGGTCTTCCTACCCACAGTTGTCGTTCCAGAGAAAAGGGGCTAGAATACGATATATTGAGGTCTCCATTCATTGGTGTCCACATTTAAGGTACAATCCGTGCTCTTTCTATGAAGACTTTAAAGAGCGTTTGATAATAAACGTAGTGTACAAAGATATACCAACGTATCTACCTTCAAAGGTTCAGGACGAATTTAAAAAAGTGAAAACAATCCTTGAAATGCTGGACTTCCTCATAGGGCTCTCACGAGTACTCGGGTACTCGGGGCCGAGTCGGGTAAAAGTCGGGTAAAGCAGGACTCGAGTCCAATTGAATGGACTCGAGGACTCGCAGGGGAGATACCTCTAAACATCTCATGCAATCAAGATGGATGATCGTGAGAAAAATCCAATGTCTGGACGCATTTTATCTTGATTTAGTGGCCAAAATACGAAATGCCGTCTTTGTGGCGTTTCCCTTAGTTACGCAAGCATTTGTCCTGTAAGCACCCACAATAAGCACTGTAGACAGAAAACCAGCTCAACAAGCAACGCTGGGGCAGTTTGGTAAGTTTGATAGCAAAAGTCGCAAGCCTGTTGACAGGAAATGGTATGAAGGTATTACGCAAAAAGCAATGCTTATGCGCGTTAAGGATATGCGACCATTAAGTCTTGTTAAAGGGGAGGGTTTCAGGGCTTTCTGTGAACCATTGAACCCAAATTACCAGGTCCCATGTACTGCGACAATTCACAACTACCTCATAAAGTCGTATGAAGTTTGCAAGGAGAACAAAATATCAGTACCCAAAACAGTACCTGCCGTTGCCCTAACTACGGACGCGTGGACAAGCGTAACCACTCACGGCTGTATCACTGTCCCTGCCCACTATACCTATGTTTGAACAACTTGTTTTCTACATAGATATTCAGTCGTTCTTATCCAGCGTATTTCAGTGTTACATATTCAACAATCAACACATACATACGCATTCAAAATAACATTCACACTTGGAGACCTATATCCTTAATAGTGAAAATTTTAATCACAATGAATACCATTGACGTGATCTCCGTTCAGCAGAGTTTCGGAAGAAGAAATACAGCGTAGTGTTACTCAATAAATGGTTAGTCTTTAGTTTGAAACCAAACCGTTTTCACTATAAGAAGTCTCAAATAAACATCAATCCTGTTTTACATATTCTTTAAGTTCCATAGTCGATCCATCTTTACAAGATACTAGTATCTAATGCAGCACCAATCAATGAATGCTTTATCTATGTATCTTCCAGCTTTGGAACGTGTTTTGCCGCATTTTAACCGTGATTAAGGTTAATTGATTATGTGACTTATCGTCCAGGTGAATGTTTAAAAGTTGCTAATATGTCATAACTGCAACGACATATTAATATTAGATAATCTTGAAAGCGCAGTCAAACTTAAAACCAAAAGAAAAGAGAAGTAGATTGATTGGTTTCTTTTCCCGGACACATCCAATCATATTACAGCATTTACAGGCGTAATAAGGTATCACCGGCCCAGCTCATGAATATTAATCACATAATTGATCGCGTAGAACTGGGTCACAGTGACACTTACGTTGCCTTCACATTCTGTTTGCAAATAAAAGGTAATAGATACTTCCATTGACATTGAATATCAATTGCTTTATTCAGGAACGTTTGGATTCACATATACATGTTGCATTATTCGTAGATTGGAAGTTGGAACAGCTACGTGTATGCTTGAATGTTGGTTTCAGATAAGCATCCAAATTGTCGGGTACTCGGGTCCGAGTCGGGTCTGACACCTCGAGTACTCGAGTCCCAAATTTTGGACTCGTGAGAGCCCCCACGCCATTTGTGATTCGTTTTGCGATTACTGCAAGCGACGATCAGACTCTTTGACTCACTTTCATCAGAGGCCCGTGAAGATCCGGGGTAGAATAGGTCTTCAGCAACCCATGCTTGCCACAAAAGGCGACTATGCTTGTCGTAAGAGGCGACTAACGGGATCGGGTGGTCAGGCTCGCTGACTTGGTTGACACATGTCATAGGTTCCCAATTGCGCAGATCGATGCTCATGCTGTTGATCGATTATTTACAGACCACCGCCATATAGCTTGAATATTGCTTAGTGCGGCGTAAAACTAAACTCACTCACTCACTTTCATCAGAATTTCAAATTAGATCGCGTCGACCTTTCCACAACAATTAATCTTAGTTAAATACACACATAAATAAATACATTTCAGATGTGTGCTGAATGCAACTGCAGATATTTAAGACTGGATGAATCATGAATTACTATTCATAAATTGTGAGGACGTGATTAGACTTGTCACAACTGCGGATTGACAAGCAAAGTTGGCTGTAGGCTTTGTCTGTAGAGTTCATCAAGAATGGAATACAACAGGCCCTCCGTGGTATTTACCACTCATTAATGCAACGGCAGGGTGCTCTTTTGTGTCCAGCATTTTTTCACGTGGATTTCAATTTATTGGTCAAGGATCGCTTTCGTTTTAGCACATTTCAATGTTTAAACATATCCCCACTCAATCGCCATATCAGGATCAGTACAAGTACATGACTTGAGGGAAACTGAGCGTGTTTCGATCATGATGTGGTTCGTTGTGAAACGGTAAACATTCACGTACATATGTATTAATGCTGGTAACTGTTAGACCCCATGGAACGATTGTAATTTAAAGATGTGGAGCGATATCTTCAAATGGTGTACACCCAGTAACGAATATATCAGTTACGGACATGTCAAAAGCAATTAAAGAAATTTCAGGTTAAAGTATATTCACGGAAATGGGAAACTGTCCATTTCGTTTGGTTTTTGTTATGATACACACATTTGAAATTCCAAACATGTACAACACGTTCTAACCATGAATCCAGTCTAATCTACATCTAGCTTGCTTGTATATTATTCACAGTGAGGAAATTTGCTGTAATCTATCTAGATCTGTAGTTGCCGTGGATATATTTCCTACACTTTCAATTACTAGACAGTTTATAAATGAATAAATCTACCTTGAATTTTAAAGTGTCGGATCCGACATGCTGATAGACAGTTTTACACAAGCTAATGATAAATAAAAAAATCTTACTATGGTATGTTCATTTATGGGCATTGTATATCGGATTTACAAACTGGTTGTTTCTTTTTTATGCTCACATGATACAGGAACATACCTACATATCTAATTTTGTCAGGGTTCTAATTCAGCATGATAGAAATATAATTATGAAATAAAACAGAATTAGATAATAGAATATTATGTTCGCAAAACACTTATATCCTGTATGTAAGGATGCTCACGATGACTGAAAGAGATTATCATGTCATCTTTGAAATGAAGGCCTTTTGCATTCCGATTTTCTGACTAGCAGTCAGATCGTCTGTGTGATTAAACCTCGTTTATGCATTCATATGACCAATCCAAACCTTCATAAATTGCCTCCTTTAAAACATAATCTACAACAGTTACACGCGAGCAGTCATAACTGCTTATTGCCCATCTATGTATTACTGCTATCATGCAAGACCACATAATAATTTAACATAAATTAAAAAGCGTAAGACGACGGTAAGGACTGCGTCAAGTTCATAAAACGTTTGCAAAGCCTCAAACGTTAACCTTACCTCTTTGTCCGAGGCCATCGTGTTGTATGTGAAGGTGAGCTTCAGTAGCGGGTAGGAGACTATGGTAAGGACAGGTATTTCGCAAGATCAAGACGCTTCCACCACGCTGTTGTAAAGTCCAACATACTACACTGGAGGTCTTCCCACTAGAACACTACCACGGCAATATGGGTCTACACAGCCAGAACAGTCTCATCACGTCCCAGCTCGGGCACGTGACGGGGCATATTAAGTTATGCTTTGTTGCTCAGGTACAGTGATGTCGGCAAGGGAATATGGAGATGATGTGGAGACAATGCGATTTATATTTTATAAAATCAAATAAACCAAATCTATTCCATAATCAGTCACTTCTGGCTCAGAGTTCATAGCTATGAAGTGAATTCCTGAAATCGGCATGCACAAGTTATGAAATCAGTAAATGAACACACAAAATTCATTGAATATTATATAGGTTATACTGAAGCGCAACCTTTGCGGTGCACAATACAGGTGTATTTCGGCAATATCATTCGGGCATCATGTTGTGATGTACGTGTTTTTCTAGACTCAAATTTATCCATGGAAACACACGTAAACTCTGTTTGTAAGTCATGCTATTTTCATCTCAGAAATATTGCTTCCATTCGTGATATTCTGACATTTGATGCAGCTCACCACCTAGTTCGTTCACTTGTTCTCTCACGTTTGGATTATTGCTGCAGTCTTCTTGTAAATATCCGCCAAGATCTATTGTCCAAGCTCCAGAGGATTCAGAACTCTGCGGCGCGATTGATTTGCCGAGTCAACAAGCGCAGTCACATTACACCATTGCTGATACGCTTACATTGGCTGCCCACGAAAAAGAGAGAATAGAATATAAAAATCCTCACTCTCGCTTCAAGTGCCTCCATGACAAAGCTCCAATCTATCTGAAAGATCTCCTCAGTGAATATGTCCCACCACGGCTTTTAAGATCAAGTTCTAATTTGTCGCTGTCCAAAGCTCATACAGCGTTTGTCATTTTACCAGCGTGTCAATCAGTTGCTGCTACAGACAATTACTACAAATACAATTACATGTACCATGTAACAATGTGATTCTGGAAAGTGCGTGAGTGGACGTTTACTAACCGCGGTGGCTGAGCGAGTTAAGAGGCTGACTTTGTGTGCTTGTGATTAGGTGCCTGACTCTAAGGGTGTGGATTCGAATCCCGGATCGGACTCAACCCAACAAAATACCAGAATCTGTACTTTACTACGAAAGTGTAATCCCAAATGTAACATATGTTACATTTGGTCACTTCCTAAATGGCATTGTTTATTCATGACTTGTCAGGTTCATGTGTGAAGAAAGGCCAACATTATAATCAAGCAGGCCTTGGACATTTACGACTGTCGTGTAACCTACACGAACTGGTGTGGTAGAGACGAACTCAGAAACATAATTAGGGCAAACCTGACGTCAACAGGTTTGATCATTCGCTCTCTCTTTGGGTAAGATAAAGCGAAATTAAGCTAGACTTTAGCTAAACATATGATAAGGACGATCCGCAATTGCATATAGAGGACACATGCGACGCCTTAAATGACTGGACACCTGATAAAAAATCATTCGAAGTCAAAACACACGAGGGCGATTACTATATAAGTCAAACATCTTCACTGGTCAGTACACAACACCACTGACAGTAAACTAAAAGGATGATGTACCTGTGTGTATTCATAGTCTTTCAGTCTTATTTACAAAGAAATGATCAAATATTACTTATGCATGCATGGAATATTATAGACTATAACGTGTGACATATTTGTCAGCCAGAAATGTGTAATGTATTTATTATGAATAGATGTTAACTTTGTTTTGTATGTTTTAAAATGTGTTTAGCACAACATGTGCGTGTAATGTACAGTTACCCCCTAATATCGTAAGATGATTATCCACTAAGTCTCCGGATATATATAGTTTACACGCTGAATACGATATTTAAAGTGAAGGTAAATCGGGCTATATAATTAATGATAAAACATCTGTATAATCTGTATATCTAAGGTTCTACAGCTACAGTGATGGTTACTTAGATACTGAAAGTATTATACTTTGATGCGCACGATGGCAAACCAATGATGAACGTCAAATCTATTGGCGTAATACATAAATTAATGCAATATATGATCATGTGAATTTCAATATCTCTTATATCCTAGTTCTATCATTGCGTGCCAAATAATGTCATGTCTAATGTTATTGGTACTGTCGCGCATCGTGTATATATATAAATTTGTCAAATAACGCGTTGTGATAATCCAAGAATTGTACATACTGATTTAACGTGCAAACGCAGTCATAGGTGATTCTGTGCGTGTTGTGATTCATGAATGCCCCCGTAAACATAAACGTATACTGTAAATCATGAAATTAATGCGTCACGATTTTAATGCGAGTGCGAGGGTCTAGTCTAAAATGCGTCACGAAATTAATGCGAGCTCAGGAATCTGAATCTTTGATGTTGTTCATTTTCTTTTTACACTTGTTATTTACTAAATAACCTGACTTGAGCTGACGATGCTTTAATTACGCTATGTTTTGAGTACTTGCTCTACCTACGGCTATATTCCCTAACTCCCCGGTCAACTTTTCTCTTTAAGCATTAAAACCACTGGCATTACCGATTCACGTTGTTATTCTATATTTCATGTATTCGTACAATCAATCGGTATGTGATTCCTTTTGTCATAGCGACTAATTCAGGACGACCAAAGTCTATATTTCTAAAGACCATAAACTTTATAGCCAAGCAATGCTGGACTTAATTGTAATTATTTATATGACGCTAATCTGCATTCTTAATCCTTATCACTACCGCAGTGTGACTTGTCAGACATCCCTGTACCACTAATTATTTACTGTATATGACATTTATAGCCTAATTGGTCATCCAATTGGCCGTGTCTGCCATTAGATGGACTGGTCCAAGACAATGCTATTGTTTCTTTACATGTCTATTGATGTCTCTTCGTCTGTCCATTGTTGTCTATAACTATATGCTCACATCTATACCGTCACTAGTCCGGTATCCCGACTGCCTGTGGCGACGACCGCCAGCAGGATAATGCCGCTCGTAGGAAACGCCCTGGGGTTGAGCTGGAGCTCCGCTCACCTCATTTATGTCTGAGCCGACAACCCAGCTCATTACTGTCTTGTGTATTTGTTTGTCATTTCTTGTATAGCCAACTAAAGACGTTTGGACATATTCTTTGTCTTCGTCAACGTATTATTTCGAGTTAGTTCCCCTGTCGACACATCTACGCGTTGACACCTTTTTGTCCCATGTCTCGCCGCGAATATAGCTGCTGAAGCGACGTTAAGCAGCATTTACTCACTCACTCTTTCTCTTGCACTGTATCCACAAGACCACTGACGATACACTACTTTACTGTAATCGTTCCTCTTCTTATTCGGGAATAATCAGGCCAAGGGACGTGGATATAATGTTTGATTATACATCCAGATCATACATCACTTTTCATGAAGTTGACACGATATGACTGAAATACTAATTGCAATTTAATGAAATTCGCTCACCACATGGTTTTGTATTCCGACATCCTCAGATTCCTTACTTACTCACTTCGAATATTTCTATTTGTAAAAATATACGCAGTTAAAAATAAACACAGTTACACTCATTACATAAATAGCGTTTTATTTTAGACATTGTAATTGTATTACATTTTTTTCTGTTACGATCCAATTTAAGTTCATTACAGTGTTTTAACAATAGTAGGTCAGGAATATATTGTTATCTTATGTAAACAGTGGTGTGGAAGTTGCTATAATAGACGATTTGGCGGGTTAAACTTGGTGTGGAAGTTTCTAGAACGGCATGTATACACATCTGTCAATATACAGAACATTCTGGAGAGTTTTAAGAATACAATGGGGCCAGAACATCAAGTCCAGTGATTGTGTGAAGATCCGGGTAGGAATTGGTCTTCAGTAACCCATGCTTGTCGTAAGAGGCGAGTAACGGGATCGGGTGGCCAGGCTCGCTGACTTGGTTGACATATGTCATCGTATCCCAATTGTGTAGATCGATGCTCATGCTGTTGATCACTGGATTGTCTGGTCCAGACTCGATTATTTACAGACCGCCGCCATAGCTGGAATAATGCTGAGTGCGGCGTTAAACAACAAACCAACCAATCTGGTCCGATTGCGAGTATGGTTATTACTGAATAAGAACTACTTCTGGCTACTGATATCATATGTATTCTCTTATTAATAATAGTAATGCACTTGTTGAGCTCCTAATGTCCAACCGATGCTGCTTAGTGGCGCTTTTACAGGGTCAGTAGGTTTTCAGTTGTTTCTTGAAAGAGTCTAGTGAAGTGCAGGATCTAAGGTTGATAGGAAGAAAGTTCCAGAGAATACGAGCGTTGGCTGAGAAGGCTCTGGTTGTAATATTACTGCCCTTGAATTTTGTAATGACACTTTATTGTGTGTGTCTTTGTAAGTACTTCGTAGTAATTTGAATTGAAATTTCAACCTAATTCATTTTATCATTTAATAGATGATTTCACAATGAATTCTTGTGTACAGATTTCAAGGTTAACTTATTGTTCCAATTTGAAATAACAACAAATAACAGCATAAAAACATGGTATGGATCATATGACATACAGTTGCGTTAGCTGTTGATTCAGTCTGCATAAGCATGTGTTAACTGAGCTCAGTGTACACAGATTCTCTTAAACGAAATATATCGCATGGATGCAGACTGAATGCTCAGTTGATGCAATACGGAGAAGGAATAACCCAATAATTCCCAATGATTTATTTAAAGAAATAAACACCCCCAAAAGCCAAACAAACCAACATATTATTTGTTGTAAAACAAATTTATGACATCTACTGCAACAATGTAAGGCTAGGATATGTTGGTGAAGAATGCCTTGTTTTCTACACCGGTACTGTAGGTGGCGCTCCCAGTCATCTTAATACTTATGACTTGGGGCATGTCTGAATCCTTCACAGTT